TCTTTTGCTGCCAGCTGCTCTAACAATTTCAGTCGAAAGAATTGTCAAAAACTGTTTTGAAACGCTTTTGCAAAGCTCCAATCTTCTCTAGAGAGAGCGAGTATTGTCGGCAACCAGTTTTTCTTCGGCAACCGTTCCATTTGAACTGCATGTAAATCTGCTGTTCTATTATCGGCAACTCAAAATCAGCTACAATTTGTAGTGCGTGTGATGCGTTTCAAGAAAACCTTGCTAGATTGCTTTTTCTCAGTGGTAAAAATATAGTCAAATTGAAGCTGAAAGCATAAAGAATCGTTTGCATACATTCAGCGAAGTGTTTTCGTAAGAAAATCCAGTGAAAATAGTGTTTCAATTTGGGTTGCCGAAAATAGTCTGTCATGCCGAAACCGTCATTTCCCCTATATCACGTAATATAGGCTGTCTTGCAATGAGCACTCATACATAGTATTTCTAGTGAAAACTAGACAGCGTATATCACGTGAAATACGCTGTAATGTGAACGGGGTATTACATTCGATTTGATGCTTCGCTTCGCGTGCCTTGTCAGCATGGCAGCGACCTTATGGGTCACCGTTCGACGATTGCGCTTGGCAGTTATTGGGTCACTTCTTAATTTTTTACCGCAATCGTCCATTTTCAAGTCGCTTGTAATCACACAACCCAATGCTTTTTAATCCAAACCAAGATCCAAACCAACCATATTGGACACTGGAAATAAAAACCTAAACAAACTGCCGAATGTGAAAATATCTGCGACAGATAAAGTTCTGAAAACAGTTGCAGAAACACACACATTAGTCTGTATCGTCAGCAATAATTTGTCGACAGGCCATGATCACACTGTCACAGATAATATGTACACTTTGACTGTCCGTAGTTCGGCAGTCACAGATATTGCCGATTCACATAAATCTTAGCATGCATCGAAATTTCACAAAGAAGACGAAGAATAAACCGCAGCTGTCAAATATTCCAAAATTAATGTGCATAGACCAGCGAATCCAAACACATAAAGCAGCCAACGATACAGACAAAACGGTTGCTACGACTACCATGACAAACTCGCTCTGTAATGCTGGGTTTACCTAGTCTGAGTTGAATTCAATTGGCTTGAAAAGTTGAGCCTGGTTCAACTTTTTTCAATTCAAGTGAGTTGATCAAGTCAGTTGAATGGCATGGTTTACACAACCGGTGAACACTCATGTTTATTTCAGTTACCGTGGGGACGTAATTTGTGATTAGCCCCGGTCCCTTTCAAATTGTATCATTATTTATGAACGGCCTTATATTTGAAATGACGTTTCACATTCATCTAGTGATGTCCGATTTTCATTCGAATAATCGTTTAATCGATTAACGAACCGAAAAGTAAACTATTTATAATCGGTTAGATCATGCCGAAATAAGCATTAACATCTCCACAGGATCATCACCGATCGTTTCAAACATGTGCTGCACTCTCATTGGTGGAAAAATGGCAGCACAGCGAACAAAAAAATCGATTAGTTGTTAATCGAGTAATAAAAAAATGGGACATCTCTGATTTTGTTTTGATAAAAATGAGCGCAAAATTTCAACTCTACCGAGGGGGTAGCAAAACCACAAAATTACCTTGAATACGGGGGGTATTTATTGGATAAAAGGGACCGCGAAAGAGGACACTAAAATAGAAAGTTTTTCTTCCGACAGTTTCATCTTAGTATTCATCTTTGGTTTACACGTTCAATTCGCGTTCAAGTCAGTTGAATTAAAATTGTCCGTGTCTAAGCCCAGCTTAACATAGCTCGATCGAAGTGGTAGAAGGATAAAGGTGTATTCAGATCTAAGCGTTCATTAGCGGAGCGGAGCAAAATTTGCGTTGGAATGAGAGAGACAACTAGTACTTTTCTCCCTCTCGTACCTTCGCAAAATCTCTCTCCGCGCGTGAAATATCGCTCAGATCTGAATGCACCTTAATGATATATTACTTGCCTGCTTTGTTGCAATATACACGGATAAGGACCTAGCTTGATCTGAAACGAGAAAAGACATAACAAAAAAATTCCCATTAACACATGTGTATCATCTTCGGCTTTACTCCGTGAAGCAGCTTGAAAACAATTTGCTCGTTTCCTTCTACCCGATTGAGCTGTTGTGTCGCACGGGCTGCTTGTCATGAAAAAAGGAAGAAGATTATAGCTTTCGTCTTCTGACATAACGTTATCCAGCATTTTAAGAGCGCTTATGGCCGCCACAATCTGACTGAGTTTTTGGTAGGGAACATATGATTTGACGTTTGGGTTGAGTCGTTTGATGTGTAAACGTTCAAATTCAGATTCAGATTGTGGCGGCCATAAGCGATCGTAAAATACTGGATTATTCGGTTCGTTGATCGCTTGTGCTTTTGTCATTTGGAGATATTTTTGATTCTTTGGTATAGACACAACAAAATTTCCGTAATAGAAATGTAGACAACGAAACAAATTACAACCGGCAAATAACCGGAAATTAATCGAAAGCTCGGTTGAAGGTAGAATGATCTGCTTGTTGTTTTTAATCGGCTGGATTATCAGTAGATTATCATTCAGGCTGTTCCGGAACCACCTGTAAACCTAATGTGGACCGTACACGATTGCTTTTATTGACAATAATCGTATTGTCAATACATTCAATATTGACGTCAATACATCGGTATTGACAATATTTCTGTATTCACATCATCAATATTAATGTCAATAATTCCCCTTCGCGTCAATATATTGATACGTGTGGGGTTTGCTTTAGATCTAAAAAACAACTGTGAAGAGGTTTGCCAAGGTTGATTGGTCGGAGAATCCTGTACCATTGCGCAGGCAGGTAGTTTTAAGTTACTTTTCAATTAAAATTGCTTCAGTTTTCTTCAATTTATCTTGCGAACTTCCATCAGACTTGTTTTTGTTTTATAATTGTTTTTTAATGTGCTATGCGTTGTCATGCAAACAAGGTCTTCCAGGAAAGATTTTGAACCAGTGCTCGAAAATTCCCAAAGCAGCGTCAGTAGGGTTGTCAATGTTGGTTGTCAAATCTGACGTCAAATGCTAATTTTTCTCTGAATTGGCAATATTTTGACTGTCTGCAGATAACTGTTAACCGATTACATTAGAATCCAGATAAACTGTGCTGGTTTAAATTGAAACTAGCTAGTCTGATCGTAGCTTAAGACCACCAGAAAGGAACACAGATGAATGTTTGAACCAAATCTCGTTAATAGAAGTCTATTTGTGGATACAAGAAACCTGGGATAAATTACACGATGTTGTGACTGGAAAATCTTGGACTTGAAAACTTGTTCATGAACACGACATTCCGTTGGTAATAGACTTGAGTAATAATCATGGCTCACCGTGATCGCCCACAATATGGAAGAACGATATGCTAGTAAAGCTCATACAGATGAAGATGGCTAAAAATCTGGAAAATCCAGATAAATCTGCAATACTGGCAACGGTGGTCCAGTATGTAATGTATGTAAGGTAGATCTGGAATACTGACAACGCTGCAGCGATTATTGGCTGATGTTATTCAATGCGACTGACAAATTGAATAATGGTTGTGAGAAAGTTGAGTAAACGCTCTCCAAAACTATTTTGCTAGCTTTTGCTTGTAGCTGTATCTGCAGCTTCTTTTCAGCTACTTTACAGTACAACGCTGGAAAAGTTGGCTTACAAAGCTGAAAATGTTAGTTGGGTGGTCCTACGTCAAAAAAATGAACGGTGCTCCCAGCTTTGCCAGGTATCCTGATTTTTTTGGGCCCATCCTGATAAAATGATAAACCCTTAATTTATCATGATATTTAATAACATCCTGATTTGTCTATCAAACCTGATTTGTCATAATTAGCCGCTCCCTCTTAGGCTCACCTTTTTCAAAATTTGCAGTTGAAGACGTATTTTGTATCAAGTAGAAGACTGTTGCTACTCTCTGTTTGTAGTAGCACAGCAAACAAGGAGTAGGAATTTCAAATTTGTACACTGAAAATAAAATTTCGTTTATACAACGAAATCGCTCGTTTGTTCTGCGAATTTATTCGTTGTTTTCTGCAACGAAATGGATTTGTACATTGTATGAAGCTAGTTTCGTTAGAACTGCCACACTCGCTATCGCTACACCCAACCAGCGGGCCACAAGTGTTGGTTGTGGAAACCGAAAAATGTGGAGTGTGTTAGTGAGGATGGGTAAAAATAACTTCATCATTGGAAGGAATAAATATGACAAAAAAATTATAATAGTCTTCAGACCGGACCCGACTCATGAACCTTGCGATCGTCAGATCTGTGCTTTATCCATTGCTCTATCTGTGCTGTGCAAAATGGTAAAGCTAAAGGCAAATAAGAAGCACACATGGAACGGAAATTCGATTTCGCTTGCTTTTTCTGCTGCTTGCATGTAATTTTTTTATCTAACATAAAACCACCGCGACGAGTAATTTGATTTATTGTTGTAGCTTGCATGTATTCGTCAAACCGACAATATTTCTAAAAAAAATGTCCCATCTCCAACACACAATCAGCACTTTAGGAGACAATAAGCGCAGTTGTTGGTTTGGGTGTACGAAGATGTATTTGTATATTATACGAATAAGGCGTAATATTGACATTACGCCAGATGACAGGAAAAACGAATGTTTCGTATTATTTATGAAAGATGTGTTGTATGTACGATATTCATTTTTACGAAACGGTTTTCAGAGAAATAACGAAAATACATTTTCAGTGTATGTTTTGTGGAAGCTGACATTTGTGCCTTTAAAGTTTCACGCTAAGGCTTCCTTAGAGTATCACATTAATACACTTGATATCCAAAATGGTTTTCCTGATAAATTCTGATTTTTATCACTAAGTTTCCTGACATTTTCAAAAAATACATGGCACCCTGGGTGCTCCAAAAAGCGTAGCCATCCCTGGGAACCTGACATCGTTTCACTGATACGGCATGTTCTGTAGAGTATAATGCCTAATGCCGTCTGTGTCTTTCATCTACAGCTTCTACGCGTCGGAGATTGCCATTGGTTTGTTCTATTTGCACACCCGTGGCATCGTGTACCGTGATCTGAAGCTGGATAACGTTCTACTGGACCAGGATGGACATATCAAGATTGCCGACTTTGGAATGTGCAAGGAAGGCATCATGGGTGATAAAACTACGAAGACGTTCTGCGGCACGCCGGACTACATTGCACCGGAGGTTCGAAGGAGATGAAAATTTAACTAGAATGAGGTTATGTTAACGTGCTTTTCATTGTATCGGTAGATTATTTTGTACCAACCGTATGGCAAATCGGTCGACTGGTGGGCTTACGGTGTGCTTCTATACGAAATGTTGGTCGGACAGCCTCCGTTCGACGGTGAGGACGAAGAGGAACTGTTTGCTGCCATCACCGATCACAATGTGTCCTATCCGAAGAGTTTAAGTAAGGAGGCCAAAGATGTTTGCAAGGGGGTAAGTGAATAATATTTTAAAAGCTGGTAAATACTAATGGGAACGTTTGCTTTCAGTTGTTGACCAAGAACCCACAGAAACGATTAGGTTGTGGAGCGCGTGGTGAGGAGGACGTACGGGCTCATGCGTTCTTCCGCCGTATTGATTGGGAAAAGATCGAGAGCCGTGAAGTGCAGCCACCGTTCAAACCAAAAATCGTAATGTCAACCTCTCAGTGATCTAATGTATGTTAGTTAACAACACCTTTCCATTCACAGAAACATCGCAAGGATGTATCCAACTTCGACCGTCAGTTCACTTCGGAGAAGACCGATCTAACACCAACGGATAAGCTTTTCATGATGAACCTCGATCAGACCGAGTTCAATGGATTCTCCTATCTCAATCCGGAATTTGTGCAACACATCTAAGGAATTTAATGTTTTTTGTTGGAAGAAGGCAGCAATCATTAGGCGGTCCCGATCCCGGACCTGATACCATAGACTCGAAAAGATAAATACCCCTGCTCAACACAGATTGATTGATAGCTAAGCTAGCAGGTGTGAATCCAAAGATGTGCGAAAATCCCTTTTAATGTGTAAGTGAATCGTAAATGAATCTACTCTCTAGCATGTTATATTTAAGCCACTTTTGCAATGGCACTTCAACCGCTTTTCCAAAGTGTTTCTGAACTTGTTTCAGTCTTCCTCTCGAAAACAGAAAACCATGTAAAACGAACAAAACACGACACCAAAATGTAGGATTTCGTTTTGCTCAGCTATTCACTGGAAGCAGCTCGGCTTGTGCATAAGAAACGAGGAGCACCAAGATGGTTTGAAGTGATTGACAAACCAGAAGCAACATATTTTCCCTCTTCATTTTAAATGCTAGCAGTTTCTGCTGGCAAACCTGTAGTGAATACAGAAAAAAAAATCATCCAGGCCAAATAGTCTCGTAGTACTGTTATTTCTACTAATGTGGCACCTTGTTATATACTATACACACACACCCCTTTTATATTTAAAAGCGAATACAATGTGGAAACTTTTTGAATTCTTATAACATATACAAAAAGAAGAGTAAAAGATTGATTCTATTTAAACCATTGATGTTGAAGTATGATAAGAAAACTGCAGAACACATACTCATTAGCGTAGCAGTGCTAGAGTTTGAACCACTTATATGGCACCATTTCTACACCCAGTGGAGAAAACAGAACACAAAACACTCACACATACACATTCTCACACACAAACATACGCGAAAGAAAATGAATCTTCTATTACAATTCCTTTGCCAAAGCGTTCTTTAACTGTCTTTGCATAATCTTCCACTTGCCTTCGATAGTCCATTTTACGATATAAACGGAGCCAGTTTACCTGACAGAACTGATGTTGAATTGAAAATCAGCTCGTAAAATGGTCTATTGCGAGAAAATAAAATGTAAACAAAACAAACTCAAACACAGCCTACTGTGCAACGCGCGCTGTGGGGAGTGACAGTTGCACACAAATCGCCACGTAGTGTGCGTTTCTGGGAAAATGTTCTACCAAGTGCTTCTCATTCGCCTACTTCTCTTGGTTTTGTGTTTATTCTCAGTGTATTTGAAAAAAAAATGGTGGAAAAATGTAATCAGCTAGCTTGTTTATCAGTTTACGAATAGAAAAAAAACTTCCATTCTTTAGTAGCAATAATTATGATATTTAAGCGATACGTCATCTCGACTGTGTATGACATTATGTAGGCAGAAGACATAAAACACACAAAAAAAAAAGAATATAAAACATTCAAAAAATGAAACAACAAAATTGAGCTTTAATCTTGCACTTTATATTATATATGAATGAAGGGAAAAATGTAATGTATATTATCCTTTTTACTTAAATCATACATTTAGAAAAGTAAATTTAACATATTAAATCATTATTGTGATAATAGTGAAATTCAATCATTTCAAATGCAAATGGGATAGACGTCTTTTTCCCTGGATAAAAAAAAACTACCGTGGCAGTAATGAGTAACTTCCGGCGGTTTGGCCCCACCCGGAAGTTACCAGGTTACGTGTACACGTAAAGAAAATAGAAGTCACACACACATTTTGGATGAATCAACAAGAATTGTAGAAAATCTTTGAGAATGATCATTAACACTACACACTACTTATACGAGGTAATTGATAAATATAAAAAATAAACACTCCTTTGAGCATTATCGTAAGGGAAACCAAGAGGAGGAAAAAAATGAATCTATAACTCTATTTATCACAAGAACAACAGCAACAAAATATTCGTGTCGTAACTAACAGAGCAAATAAAGCAAAACATAAACAAGAAAAAAATATATATATATATATATAGGAAGTCTCTCTTAGGCTATGTATATCGTAAGTAAAACGACATCAACGCAAAATAAGCGGAAAAAGTCAGTCTAGTGAACAAACTAAGAGAAAATTGAATGAGGATAACATGGAAAAATCTTACTATAATTTTGACAATCTAAATGTAGTTAATCTATATAAATGAAGAAAACAAGGAAGTAACCAGAATAGCTTAGATTTGAAAATTGACTAAGGTAGTAAGAAGTGAAATTTTACTGCTGACAACTGAAAGACATTCCATAGTCCCCTCAAGTGACGGTAGTAGAGGAACAAAGAAAACAAAAATCTCGTATTGAAACAAACTTTCTACAATCTCCACAGATGGAAGAGAACAATGAGAATTACCTTTAGATATTTATTGATCAAACCGCAAGAGCAAAAAAAGAAACGTATTATTATAGTTGAATGAGATTATATACTCTAATTTGCATAAACGGATTAAGTTGTGCTGATTGCAAAGCAAGATAGATTTACGGAAAAAAAATAATAGTCACTATGTTTACATTATATCTGTTCGACTAGTTTTGTAAATGTTGTTGTTAAATTTGAAAAATGTTCTTACCTACATTTCTGCAACGTTCTTGCCACTATTGGAATACTTTAGGTACGTATTAAAGCAAAAAGTATTAAACGAAGGAATACTAAAAGTAACACAATGCTAAAGCCACCCTCGAGAAGAAGGGATGCCTGACGAGGTGCGCCGAAACGTTGCCTTCGCTAGAGTTAGTATGAAACTGAGATAATCTGTACCATCAACGAATCCCCACCTCTGTGTAGTACAGGGGTTCCCTCACGTACCGACTGTGCAAGTTTAGATGTGCAATAAGTTCTATGGTCCTTTACTAAAGCTGATTCTTTTCCCGATCACAGTGGCACAGAACGATGATGGTAACCAAGCAACGTAAAGCCACCGTCATCGTCATGTTATGTAGTTGACACAAACATAACAAAACCCATAGCTAGGTAACGGTTCGGCCTGCCACGAACGGCCACAGTGGACGATAATAACGAGCGGTCAATAATCTAATGAATCCGAAAGGTAAACAAATAAATGAACCTGATAAAAGTGAGAAATAAAACAAACGTTTACAAAACAAATACTTATAAATAACAAAAAGCGTAATGAGACGTGTAAGGAAATTTCTATTTCACCACTGCCTTAATTTTTAAATCTGTAACAATTTGTGAGAATCACGAGATCATACTCATAGGAAAACACTCACACATTACAATAAAAAAAAAACAATGCGAAACTACTACATGGACGATTGAGATAACACAACAACCTATCGCTGTATTGGTATCAGCAAATTGAGGGAGAATATTCAATAGACACAGAAGAAAGCACTACCCTAGAATGCGCATGCTGAAAGGAGAGAAAACCAAATTTTAGCTACATCTTTTACATTTATCTATTTCGATTTATATTCAATGACAAATATCACAAACACTCACACAAAAAAACACTCGTAAAAAAATTAAACAAAGAAAAGACACTCGAGAAATTGAAGCATTTTACATTTCAGTGTTTCTGTTTTTTCACACCTCTAATTGTTATCAGATTTCATGAATATTGATTGAATTTAAGGGATACACATATAATATTGATCAAGAAAAACCAAACGATACATTAAGCATACCCACGAGTAATATTTAACGGAAAAGAAAAAAAAACACAATTCTCACTTGACAAAGTAAACCAAACATATTGAAAGGAACAGCTAGAATGGCAAACAAAAATGAACACGTTTTAGTCGTAGCAAACAAAATTTTCTCCAGACGAACCAGTAAACAATTTACTCACACATCCTTACCAGAAAACAAAACAAAAATATAACAACACAGGTGTACAACATGTCTCAAGAAGAGTGATTTGCAGCAGGACACTGCTTTTTTAAGATACAATAAATAGTAAAATCTTGTCTCCTTTCGCCGCGAACTTACAAAAAAAAAGAAACCATAAACACATAACATAAATCTAACACCACCAACCGAACAACAACCACTCTCTCTAGTTAAAACAAAAATAAAAAAAAAACAAGCAATCAATGAACAAAGCCAGCTTTGATCATCAACAATAATTCACGAAGCATGTACTACACACACAATAACAACAACAACAACAAAAAGAACAACAACCCACAGTCGAAGAAGAAACACAGACGCTCGTTTGATTCTATACTGATGCAAGCAAATAGTAATTAGCAGAAAATAAAACAAACATTCAGAAAAGAGTAAGAAAAGGATCAAAATGGTTAGTCGATATACAGCAAAAACAAAAAAAGTACTGTTCTTTTATCTGTAGGAAAAAATCCCTTTGTTGCGTTTACTTTATGCCGAAAAGATACATTCAATTTAACTGATCGATTTTCCGCTTCACGCGGATCCCAGCAACCCATGTGCCGAGTTGATTGTTTACACGGTCAGTACAGTCCGACGCCATTCTGCTTTTGTAAGGTTTCGGTAGAGTTCTAGTGAGTGCTGCTGGAGAAAAAAGTTTACTACCAACTAGAAGGTGGACAATTTTTATTTTAAGCGAGTTGAACACTCAGACAGGTGAGATGTTTGCATTCTAATTTAGAAACTGTAGTGTCGGGATTTTTCTGACGGACTGTAACAATACAATTTTCGATTATTTTTTCGAACGAACGTACCAGCTTTTGTAAACAATGCATTTGATCGTCTATTTGGCGTAACTGGTAGCTCGCCCACACATGCTAACACCACCATCAAATAGGGACAATTTTCCCCTACCTGATAGTGGTGTTAGTATGCGTGGGCGAGCTACTGGTTACGTCAAATAGACGATCAAATGCATTATTTACAAAAGCTGATACGTCCGTTGGAAAGAGTAATCGAGAATTGACCTTTACTTTGAGAGCTTTTCGCTCAAAATGACTTAAGTGAGGTTTTTTCTTTCAACTTCACCATTGGCTTGAGCCCAATATGGTATATGTATGTATGTGTTCACAATCCAACTCCCACTATCTGGTAGTGGAATTATGGATAAAATCTCACTGCAATCTTGTCTCATGACTTGGCTGCAAGAAGCTTGAATCATGGAGTTATAAGGTGACAGCTCTACCACAGATGCAATAGCCCATGAATCAAGCAGAAATGTAATTCTTGATTGACGCGTATTTAAGAAGCATCAGTTAGTCCGTTCGCAATGCTGAGTTTCAAAATTGTTTCAAACTACTCGACAGTTCTAAAATTTGAAACTGTCAAAAATGAAACTGCAACACGATCAGCGCAACGTACAGTTTTAAAAAGTGTTTGGTATTCATCCCCCTGCGCTTTGGTCAGAGAGCGTATAGGGCGTCGTTGTGCCAATTTGGTCGTGGCACATTTCGAGTATGAGAGAGTGATTGCAGTTGGCTCAAAAGTGTCTGAGTAAAATGCAAGTATTTTCGATGATTACCCGTAGTTGTTACAGTGAAGATATACACCCATATTCTCGTTTATGTCTGGACGTGTTTGCCATACAGAAACATTTTTATTTGATTTTGTGTGGTGGATGGGTTTCGGGCGTGGACAGGCATATAGGTGATAATATTAAGTTTACGTTAGGATAACGTTGAAACATTGAGAAATGTATCGCTTCAGTTTAAGAGACACTTCACTTCGCAACCGATGAACCACTCTGACGGCCAACATTGCCGTGCAGGCGCCGTGTGTTGGCAGGGTCCAATATTGGACAGTTTGACGTTTATAAAGTACCATCAGTTGAAACTGTATTTTTGAACTTTATCTCTATACATTCTTAGATGTTTCTTAGTAGATTATCATGTTGGTGTAAGCTGATTCAAAGAGTAAATGGTATTAACATTGAGCTGTCCATAGTTGGGCGTTGTTGAACTTCTGGTACTTGCACAACATTTCATGTGAATACCAAAGTAACCATATAATCACAAAATAGCTTTAGGTGTGGGTTCAGAGTGGTACAATGTCACTGAGATATGGTTAGTTGGGTATTCAGATGAAACTATTACTTTAAAAAACTAATACTGGTTGTATCTCTTTTTCGTTTTTTCGTTTGCATGTAACACTGTTTGATATTACTAACCGCACCGAGCCTTCATTCCGGGTGGTGAGCGAACCTGAAGAAGAAGAAGAAGAAGAAGAAGAAGAAGAAGAAGAAGAAGAAGACCATAAACCCCTTCTCGGAACGAGTGTTTTGTTAGTGGACCTGGTCTGCGATTCAAGGTTGGACTCTGTGATGATAAGTATCACATAACAGGTAAAGTAGGCAGCATCATCTTTATCGAAATGTAAGTATTATTGACAATAATCATAACTAGATTATATGCAAATTTATATGATAGGTACCTGGATCAACGTTGTTTAAACATGCGCATTCAATCGTGAAGGCATCTAATTCTGCATTTTAAACCTACCCAACCCTTTTCCTTTCTACAATCCCTGAGCAGCTGGTTCACCATAAGTGTACCTCGCAGAACTTTATTAACCCCCATGGGTAAAGATGCTGTGTTGCTCACTCCTCTCCCCTTCCCTGGTGTATTATGGATGGTGTGAATATTCACATCGGTGACATGGCCCCTGACCCCCTTGTACATCATAAAATGAAAATGAAAATGAAAAAGTGTTTGGTATTCATCCCCACATATGTGTGCGTCTGTTTGCTTCGGCGATTTTAACACGAACGGAGAAGGTGGTTCTGATTCAAGAACATGTTTCCTGGAACAAAATGATTACAACAACGTAACCCAGTGCACAGTGGTCCAGAATGCAGATTTAGGTGGAATGATATGTTTTGAGCCTGAAATTGAAACTTTAGACTAAAAGTTTCTTGTACAAAGTTGTTCCTTATAGTTAGGCCCTCATTTTTATGACAATGAGTTCTAGGGTGGTTCCTATTATCATTAAAATCAAAAATCTAACTTTTTTGTTTGAATAAATTAAGGTATACATTTTTTGACAAAGTTATAGCTGAGCTAATTTCAAGCAACTTTGTTGAAAATAACTTTTTTGTATCTCTTAAATTGGCCGATTTAGAGCTATTTTCTTGAATTGAGTTAGGGTGGCTCTTAAAAAAACAGTTTTTTTGCTCTCATGAAAATTGTCTTCTAGATAATTTTAAAACTCTTTAAGACGAATGTTTTATAGCTGAATTTGTTGCCTGTATCTCTTCTAATAAAAAAAGATATACCCAAATATAGTAAAAAATATGAATAAATTCAAATTGATTTTATACGAGTTTAAAAAATAACATACCTTCAATTTTGTCATATTATTGAGAATAACATACGCCCTTTCAAATGCCGTAAAAAAACTTTTTTTTTGTTTGCCTCAACCAGAGATATTAACATTTGAAAAGTGCATATTTTTAGTATAAAAACGTCAATAACTCTTGATCGGCGAAAGATATTGACAAACTTTGTGCAGCAAAAATTTGCGCCTTCTTAAGATATAAAAGTTATCTTAATACACCTTTGCTGAGAAATTCTAAATAAGAAAACTAGAAAACTGTTTTTTTAAGAGCCACCCTAACTCAATTCAAGAAAATAGCTCTAAATCGGCCAATTTAAGAGATACAATGTTGCTTGAAATTAGCTCAGCTATAACTTTGCCTAAGAATGTATACCTTAACTTATTCAAACAAAAAAGTTAGATTTTTGATTTTAATGATAAAAGGAACCACCCTAGAATTCATTGTCATTAAAATGAGGGCCTAACTATAAGGAACAACTTTGTAGAAGAAACTTTTAGTCTAAAGTTTCAATTTCAGGCTCAAAACATATCATTCCACCTAAATCTGCATTCTGGACCACTGTGCAGTGTCAGGTAACGAGTTCAAAGCGAGTATGTAAGTAAGTAAAGTAAGCGAAATGACTAGTGATGTTCGATTACTACTCGATTAATCGAGCTAATCGATTATCTGTTAAAATAATCGATAATTTCGATTAATGATACTAAGCGCGTCTGTTATTAAGTGGTCAATTTTATACAATTGATGAGGAGATGAAAGTGTAGCGTTGATAATTCCGTTAGAGTACGGCAGTGTGAAAATTGTATATAGAGAGTAGAAAGCGAGCAAGGACTTCGTTTGAATTGTTTAACAGTTGAGGGTTTTCCGAATAATTCTTCATCAACCAATTAAGACGAGAGAATATGTGAAGGAATGAAGGTCTTTAGAATAATTGCTAATCATGATGATCGGTAATAATTAAAACGCTAAAAAAGAAAAAACCAAGAAAAATCCTGAGCATGGCTCTGATAGGCAAATCATCACCTGCAAATGTTTCGAGTAAATCCGAGGTATCCTTTATTTGGCTCATTACATGTTTAAAAACTTTCACTTAACTAAAACTTATTTTAAAACGGTTCAACTAAATTATGGCTGTCACGCGCGTTTTTTGAAAATGGACGCGTCAATATCTACGAACGACACAAGCCACTTCTGAGACTCTTTGTTTTCATCACACTCTTCCACAGTCAACGTGTTCATGGTTTCCATGTTCAATCCCAGACACTTCCCGTGCTTAACACTCTTGATTTGATTCGACTTCGTCAGGTATTGCCACGCTTGGTTTCCCCTCGATCGGTGACAACCATATACTCCCAATTCATTGCCAGTGTAGTCAAGGCAGTGTTTGTAGCTGTTCAGCTCTTGGTAGTAGTTATGCGCCCAGAACTGACCCGTCTGCTGATGATCACATGTTGCCATGACGACCTTATTGGTTTCCAATTGATACTCCAAACAGGTGTCGTTTCCCAATGCCTTGTTCTTCATCTGAAAATAAGATCGTAGTAGACAATCGGAAAATAGTTCATCGCTTACTGCGATCAAACTCACCTCCCCATGGAAAGCACCCTCCACCATAGGGTTGTTCATTTCTGGAAATGCATTCTGTACGTAATATTTAAACGTCTTGCAATTGGCCTTTTGTCTGACCTCTTTCCTGGAGGAAACATCTCCCACTTCCTCCTCCGGGTACTTTGGAATTCCATAGATGTCGAAAATGATTTGTTTGTACTCGTCCATCCATACCTCAGCCAATCGTAACGAATTCGCCCGTACCACATCCTTCTTCGTCTGAACCAGATACGGATGTCCGGTTTTCTGGATGTGCGCCACTCGTGAACAGGGAACCGTCAACATTCTTCCACCGCAAATCCAGCTCTTCATCGACAGTTCAATGTTCTCGATCCCATAGATGTCGAATCCTTCATCGTACCATCCCAGTCGTTCAAAGAACGATCGATTGATAGAAAACAAACCTCCGGCCATGGCGGGCGTTTCGAACGGTTCCATTTTATTCGTGGGCTGATGTTTTCGGCTCCATCTACCCCACCAACCAAAGTTCAGATCCCAATCGTACGCACCGTAGTAGCTGGGAGCGTGTTCCGTTCGCAGATGCATATCATGCTCGTCGATCCAATCGATCGTAGGAATGGCGATGGTGGTGGCATTCCTGGCAACCACATCTAGCAGTGCCTCTAACCATCCTGTGGAATGAGATAAAGTGTTTATGGATGCTGTTTATGGATTTTCTGTAATATACTTAATGAATTCAGACAGAAAAACTAGATTAATAAACTAAAGGAATTTTCACGTTTATGTACTAAAATCACCTGTTATTTTACAATAGTTTCCCTAGAAGCCCTTCAATTTAGTGAAGAGGAAAAAAGTGCTGAGTGGTTGCGATGATGCGCGTTGGTGTCGGCCAAATGTTGTAAAGGATCGTGATCGGATTTACCGGGAAATACCGATTGGACCTTATGGCCATTAAGGACAGGTAAGTAGTTGGTCCATCAAGGTAAGATAAATTAATAAGCATATAAAGTATCCGTTCGATTTTGGCAACACGTTCTCTGTATATTTAAACTGCTTGTGCTCTGCAGTTATATTATTAAATTCTGTTTAATAATTTTCTTAGATTTTCAGTAAAATTGTGGAGCTTTAAACGTCACCTGCAGGCCTGTTCTGCGAGTAGTATGGCTCTCTGTCGCTAGTAGGGTGACGGTGGTCGCCTCGTGTGAGGTGACTCTTCATTTGATTGCACGGAGAGTCACCCCACTAGTGCGTGACTTTTGTTGACTCATTGGTGGTGGAGATTCGCACGACTCGCGGAATAGGTCAGATGATAAGATTTGCATTTATTAAAGATTTGGAAAGCTAAGAAGGCAAAATTGTGTTGACAAAATCTAACGGGTAATGCCGATATTAATATATATATATATACACATTAAATGCAAAGGGGAGGGCTGGGACCACCAGGGCACCGGATTGAAGCGATTTGGATGGGGAGAGTGGAATTGCCAACTCCCTGTCATTAACATTTCGTGAATTGACGGCGGGCTCTTCTCCCCACTCATTGGGACGTTCCCTCGTATGATGGCTTGTTCTACATCGGGTTGTAGGATTTTATCATTGGAAGGCGATTCTCCTGATCCCGCGGATTGCGCGTAAGTGTATCTGCTTACGGGTCCGCCCCTCCGTTTTTGGCCCTTCTTACAATGGTAAATTGAATACAACCAGGTATCGTACTTGATCAAGTCATACTTGGAGGATGATCCACTGTCTAATGGCTGTGCCTTGCAACAATGAGTGGTATCCTTTACATACATACATACATAAAATCACCTGTTATTTTACACCACGCACAGTGGGAAATCAAAAATAGTGGGACATGGCTATTTGCGACGAAACCATGGAGTGTAGCATTTTGATGTCTTTTAAATGTTTCTTAATTTTTTGAGTACTTTAATGGAGAAAAGCGACCATTTTTAATTAAGGGAGGTATACACTAAGATAAAAAATAGCTTTTTATGTTTTGTTGAAATTGATGAACATCTATGAAAACATTGTATATGAAGTCATTTAAAGAAACTTTGTCGAAGACGTCGATTTTTTATCTTTCAAGTGGACGAAGATATAGGGTGAAAATGGAGTACACTGGAGTCGCTTTTTACGCGGGTGATACGTCCCGCGTAAAAAAACCGCGTAAATTCCGAAATCCGCGTAAATTCTGAAAACCGCGTTAAAAAAACGTGTAAAAAACCGCGTAAATTCCGAAATCCGCGTAAAAAACCGTGTAAAAAAACCGTGTAAAAAACCGCGTTAAAAGCGACTCCAGTGTACTAACGGTAGTACCAACTTAAAACATTTTTTTGCCATAACTTTTTAGTTTGAATTTTTCAATTTTTTTCAATGTTCTACAAAGTTGAGAGTGCTCTAAAAATGCACGTTTTTGACAAATGGAGCAAATCGCTATCCCTTCATGTAAAGGAATTAAATACGTATTTATAATTTTTCAGCACTAACTTTAAATGGGTGTATCTTGGAGGTTAGCAGGTAATAGCAGCTAAACTGGTCGTAATTTCGCTCAGCATCTTATACCCTACTTTTTTTTTTTTTTAATTCTTTATTTAAGAGATTTTTAGCCTTAGGCTAGTTCATCTCTAGCTTATACCCTACTGTTACATACAATTCATAGGTGGATTGAAGGGGATGCCTAGTGATTATTCTAATATAGTACCTCAATGTTTTGTTACGTTTTGCTGTTTTCATGACCATTTTTTTCAAGTATGTACATTAGAGTGGGTTGTAGCTTCGACAAAGTTGTTTGGTATAGTATTCTCAATCTAAGTCCGAGTTCTAGTGAAATTTGAGCAATATTTGGATTTTTGGTAAGCAAATTAATAGGATCGTCCCGTTTCCCATACAAAATTTAAAATTCTCCCGCATATCGAGATTATTACCAAATTCGTTCAAATTTTGCCAGTTGTTGGGGTGCAGAATATGCATTGAAAGAGCAGTGAGAAACCCACTCTAATGTAAACACTTGGAAAAATTGTCATGAAAACAGCAAAACGTAACAAAACGTTGCGATACTTTTTAGAAAATTCATTATGCATCCCCTTGGATTCCCTATGAATTGTATATGTAACAATAGACTAGATTATGCTTTATCTTAGTGTATACCTCCCTTTAAGCAAAAAAGTAGAAGGGTATGTGTCTATAGGGGCACGAACGGAAGTTTGACGTAGGACCGCTAGTGGACGGAACAAATATGTTAATCATTTAATTCTTAACTTTTTCCGTTTTTGAGTTTGTGGCCCTGAAAAGGGATGGTTGTTTTTCAAATGATGGCCACACCAGTGCAAGTCTTTTTTTATATCTTTATTAAGGAGACTTTCAGCCTATCCCAGTGCAATTCGATGCCGACCGGATGACGGCGGCCTAGACATGCTCCCTATTGCGGGAAGCCTTTTATCCGGTCAATGTGGGTGCTTTCATCGTCGTCTTCATATTTATGCGATGCGTGCTGTTCCACTCATACGTCGTGTCCGACGCTTATCCGTCCGTTGCTCGAAAGCAAATGACGAAGAAAATTATTTGGCAAGCGTTTTTATTATCGCTGCTTTTCTCCTGCCTTCCTTCATTGGTGAAATGGTGAGCGGTCAACCGAGCATTGAGCTCGCTCATGTGAGCATGCGCAATGTGTCGTGTATTCGATTTGTGCTCTATCGTTGCGTCCGTTTTTGGGATTTTTCGTTACATGTCTGAATTTAATTTTTTTTACTACCCCAGTATAGAAATTAAAGAAGTAGTCCTACGTCAAAATTTAACCACTGCAATAAAGTATTTGAAAATTGAAGAAACATGTTAGAAGACATCAAAATGCTACACTCAATAGTTTCGTCGCAAATGGCCATGTCCCTCTTTTTTTGATTTCGTCCCACTGTGCCACGGCGCGATAACTAACTCGGACCGCTCTCGCTTCTTCCACAGATTAGAGCGAAGTGAAAGACCCAAGTAGTCTGAAGATCCTTAGATTAGGCGCAAGAATTGTAATCTTCGTCGCCGAAAATTACGAGAAATCAACGAAGAACTCATTGACCATGAACATTTCGGTGAGTGAACTGTTTGAGAACGCTTCTTCTTCTTCTTCTTCGCATTTCAAGCTTATTGCATATCGCATATTAGCTTATTGCGTGCTCTCAACTTAGTGTTCTAGATGCACTTTCACAGTTATTAATTGAGAGCTTTCGATGCCTGCTACCATTTTTGCATTGGTATAATTGTGTGGCAAGTACAATCATGCTTCTATGCCCAGGGAAATCGAGAGATTTTCCAACCCGAAAAATTCCTAGACCGGACCTGGAATCTCACCCGCCTTTACCGACTGAGCTAAGGGAGGCCCCTTAGTTTGAGAACGCTTCATGCGTAAAATCTAAACAAGGGTAAATCGTTGGTGTTTGAAACATTTCTTTTCATGTACAACTTTTTTGCTTTTTGCTGAAGGAAGTGTAACTGCCACGTAACGCTACAACAAATTCAAACAGAACGTTTCAGTGCTCAATACACCTGCAAATTTTCTACCTTTTTCGATCCTTGTTTGGACCCTACCCGATGTAATCCTACTTGGATTTCGATTTGGAAAATTCCTCTTCGATCCTTCAGATTCTTATAGTAAGTTGCTGGTAGTCGATTTGAAGAAACGTTTTACTACCGCCATGGCGCCTGAGCGCAAAAGAAGAGGACAATCTCTTGATCCCCCTTCTGATGAAATTAATTTGAGCAATCAATTTGTTTTCTCCGCGGGTGATGAAATGATCCATCATCCAGGAAAAAAATCTAATAAACTTTCCCGGTTTAATGCCTAGAAGGAAAAGAATCCCCCCATTGTGGTAACCACTTCCGATTGCATGCTCTTCGCATGGAACTTTTGAACTTCAAGTTTTCACTTCAAATTGTCCAATGCCGTGTATTGGCTGAAACCTTGGACGGATTCGAACCTCAAGTATCTTACTGAGAAGCAACACAATTTTTTTACTTACGGAACCAAAAATTGCTACATGCCAGCTAAATGCATGAATTGTGGTGTTTCCTCTCAAGACTGTTCTGTGAAGGAAGATCCTAAGAATCTTAATGTTCAATTGTGGTGAAAACCACAAATCAAATTTTTGGGCACTCGCAAAGCAATCCTACAATGTCGTTCTAAGTGACAGATAGTAAACGCTCTACGTTTCCGACCAGGTACAAATTCCTCTGCTGTTAACAACGGTCAGCGAGGAACAAATTCTACATTAGTACCCGTAGGTACAAATATCACCCCTGCTTCAAATTTTTCATCTATATCTGCTCCCCTTGCTGCTATCAAACAAGCTATCAGAGAAATATTGAAAAAGTGGATAAGGCAATAAACAAAAAGTTTGGATTACCCGTAGCAATTCCCATACCAACTTCAACACGATTAGGAACTGTGGAAACACAGTGAAGCTTAGTGCACATGGTTTCATGAAGATAAAGGTTATAATTTCCATAAGCTGTGTGATTCATAAAAGTCGAATGCGTGGTACCCCTAATCAGCCCGGGACGATCTCCTCTGACACTTTATGACTTCAATTACCCAAAAAAGTAAGCGTATTAAAATCAAGGTTATACCAACTGTGCACTCAACGTGGGCATCCAGGAATGTGATAATCTGGCTGGTTGTGTTCCGTGCCCCCAGTAGTCGGGCCCGAATCAATCCTTGCCTTTCGGGAGCCCGCAGAACGCGCACCTTCGGGAACGACCGAAAATAGTCGTCGAGTTGCGTTTTCGTGTGTGCTGTAATTGGGATTATACACGGCTATCAACAAATCGTTCGCTAATTAATACTTGATTTACAACTTACGAAGATAAGAGCAATCATCTACCAGCACTATTTCGTTCACCAGATTGGGAGGTGATCGATCCAGAATTGAGTGAACTGTACGCACCAGCACCGACCACGCTTCGTTGTAGAATACAATCACAATCGAAGTATCGGGCAGTTCTTTGAGAAACCTTCCCGGTTGTTTGCACCAATCGTCTCGAACATCGGGAAGCCGTCGATGTACGGACATCAAATCGGAAAGAAACTGATTCAATCCCTGCATCTGGTATCCCTCTTTTACCAAGCCCGCGATTCCTTCATTTGTGACCCCGAGAGTTACAGCTGCTCCCATATCTCCCGGGGGTATGGGAAATCTTGGATTCAATGTCTGCGAGGTGTACTGGAATTTGGATGTCGTTTCATTGTTCTCTGCTGGTTCAGTGACACTCTCGGCACTTTTAGCGATAAACTTGTGCCGCAATGTGTCCTGGAATCCGGAAATTTCCAAACTGGAACCGAACAGGGTTAGCAAACCCATAACAGCTACGATCGAGAACAGTGCGCCGAGCAGCCATTTCTTGCTGAACGCCTAATTTAATCCAGCGGAAAAATCAAGATTAGAAAAATACAACCGTCGCATAGGAGATACTAAGCGCCAATTACCCGAATCATAATACTTCACTGTCGTGCCGCTTGCGGGAAACTGAGAACTAAACAAGCTCGTCGACAGCTCAATTGGACAAGCTGTCGAATACGGACGTTATCGTTACACCGCCGTCGTCGTCACTCTAGATAACAACAACGGGAGTGTTGTGTCTCATCCCAGCTGTACCACCACCATACCTAGTAGACCAATGCGAGGTACCCATTGCTCTGCTTTCGTCAGCAGGGTCGGTTTTCAATGTCACTACTGTTGTTGTGTTGTGGTGGCACCGCAGTAAGCGTTGGACCAACCAAATGTGCAAACAATAACTGCAGACCGAAGCAGGCGTTGCTCTTTTGTTAGCACAGACCAGGCGGGCCTGCGAGCTGTTGATTTAGATTGTTTTGAATAGCTTCTTTTGTGCCTACCGGAGACATGTGCAAGATGGCGCGTTGAAATTGATGTGATTTACGAAACAAAACTAAATCGTAAAACATGAACGGAACGTGCTAGTTCCAGATACCAGATTGCAAATGAGCGCTTCCTTAACGATAACTTTGTGGAGAATGTTACGTGCTTTTGATAGATGGGGAATGGGAGTGGGGTTGATATAGTGCTCGAGTTCAATAGATAACCTGGAATTTGTAATGTCGGATGGATGTGACTCAGTTTGTTGTGCAATTTGCATTCTAATAACTCAGATGAGTGCTGTCACAGCAGAAGTACACTTGAACAAATCGATCGATTTGCAGTCAACGTTATGAACTAGTTTTTCATTATAGGTAAATAGACGTGGTTATTAATAGGTGCTATGGGAAGGCCTTCGCACTATGTTTACTCCCATTTCAGTAAAGAAAAGATAAAAAATACAGAAACTTTCAGCTGATGCACGCATTACACGTAGAGCAAAACAATATGTGTGAATTGAGACACATGTTTACAAGATGATAACATTTGATTATTTTGTGAATATTTGGGCACGAAAAGGTCGGTCACTCAGACGAATATTTTATATGGACTGACGAAAATTAGGTGAGACGAAATTTATAGCTTAAGAAGTCGTTTGAATCGGCGAAATTATGTCAGAACTGACACATTTAATTTTGTTTGATGATTTCCGGTACGCAGTGTCCAGATGCCCGACGAATGGAATGATGGAATCAGTGACAGTTGGTCAATTTTAATCTCCATTTTTTATTAGATGAAAAATCTAAATCCTGAATTATTTTCGTTCGTGTCTTTGAAATCTGATGTTTTAGTGAATCAATTAGTCGTAATCATTCCGGAAGCTAGGATTGTTTGCTCAAGATCTCAATTCATTCTTCTAAGTCATAACATCTTAATATTTGTTTAAGGAACCTGGCATACGAAAAGCTTAGTCCCCTTGTAATGTTTTCCAAGTCTAAGACATTTTTTCTCAGGATCTCCAATTTTTTAAATTTTAGGATCTTGAATTTTTTTGTTTGTCTGGCCGTGAAATTTGTTACCACTTCAAATTGCAAAGGTGGAAGAAGTCTATAAAAAGCTCTAGTGATTTTTGTGTGCATTCGGATAATGGGCCGAGTGGCGAAGCGCTTTCCGCTGATCTGTGATATCATTGGCCTATTGGAAATGAGATCATTGAAATATGGAGAGGCTTGGAGTGGTTGAAAGGTGAGAGCCCAAGTAACAATTTTGGTTTTATGAGGGTTCTGTACATGATTTAGACTTGTAGAATGCTATAAAACCGCGATAAAACCTGCAATGTTACTTGGGAGGGTGTTTTCTTAAGAAGTAGTTCGAATTATTAACAATTGGAGATTGAGCATAATTGAGAAACGAGAAGAATAATAACATGAGCATTTGTACAGCCATAAAAAAGAAGAATCGATAAAGTAAGTAATCAAGAATTGGTTAACGAGGATTTAAAAAAAAAAATCAAATTACCATGTGATGTTGTGGTATGTTAAAAAGGAAGTTCATTTAAGAGGAAGAAAGTTGTGTAATGTTAAAGGGGTGAAGAAAGAGAGTCTTCATAAGGAGGAAGAAGAGTCTTCATCAAGTGAGAGTGTTTATTAACAGAAAAAAAGAATAACATTTTTATGAGATGGAGAGGGAGATATTCACACTTTGTCGATAGTTCTTTGAAGAAGTATGAAGAAAGAGCGGCAGAGAATGAAGGTAAATGTGCTTAGTTGACATTTTACGCCGAGTGGAGATGAAATTATTTCGCTTGATTATTAATATCTGTTGATTGCAAAGAACTAGAATTGAAAACAAATGTATTCATGGGGAAGACAGAAAGAAAAGCATTAAGAGAAAGGGTGATGGTCTGGAGAATAGCGGTCGAAAAGGATTGATGGGCGATTAGTGAACGTGTTATGAATTTTGTCTATTTCCTCGGAAGTGACAGCATTTTTTTTTTCCAGAAAGTGATGTGTGTGTGATCGAACGTGATGTTTGTTTTTTTTCTGTGGAGTTTTTTTTTTTCTATAATCTATATGCTCAGGATACGATTTGTAGTTCCTCAGTGATCATCTCCTTCTATGTAGTTCTTCGTCCCTGTTATTTGCCACTGACAAGCTGTTCCGAAGCCCATTAGAATCAACATGAGGCCCTCGACGTCCCAAAATTCGTCACATCACACGTCATTAAGTCGCAGCGTTGAACCTGACTATTGATCACGAAAAGGCTTGCCAATGCACATCAAAATCGATTTCATTTGATTCATGTTGGTATGCTTCAAGCGGACCGTCTACAATTTGCACTTCTACATCAACACATGTGAAGCTGCCTTTAGGTTCAATTGGCTGAACTTGGTGAGTTCGTTCCTTTATGTCAATTTTTATCTTTACAACCAGTAATGCTGGAACCTCAAGTAATTTCAAACTACTATCTTACCTGACTCATAACGATTATACGTATTAATGTTATAGAACGTATACTATACCTCTTTATTCGTTTACTACGTATGTGAGATGAAGTAAAAAGTTCACGATCGGTCCTTAGCAGCTTCAAAAATTCAACTTAAACACAAAAATATTTGTGAATGTAATGAAAAAAGTGTGAATACTACTGAAAAAACTTTAGTTTTAAAGCATTCTTCATTGCGGCACCATGTTTGAGGCGGAAATTGTTTTCGAGTCCGTTGAAGCGGCTGATTTTTTTTTTTTTTTTTTTTTTCTTTATTTTAGAGATTTTTAGCCTGAGGCTAGTTCATCTCTTAAGGCAAGCGGCTGAACAGCCACAGTCGGAAGCAGATAGCAGCTTCGAAATGGTAGAAGATTACCTCGATGAGATGGAGGACGAGGAGGAGGAGCTATTTCCGGACCCTCTCTATGCTGGGGAAGTTGAAAATTTTGCCAAACCGGATGCAGATTGCAGATTTCATTCGGATGAGCTGGCCATCGGAATAGAAGCCCAAAAGAAACGAGAGTATTTTACGATTCAGAAGAAGCTGCAAATACTTTCAGAATACGAGAGGGGCGTCAATGGCAAGGGTATTAAATCTCTCGCTCTAAAATACGATATTTCGGCATCAACGCTTCAAGGATGGATCAAACGGAAAAATCAGATGGAGGCTGTAGGGAACGACAGATCACGATCGTCAAAAAGACGCCGTCGTCTACCCGGTGGAGGACAAAAACCTTTGTTCCCTGTGCTCGAGGATCGCCTAATAACCTGGATCAAACAGTGTAACAAAAGTGGTATTCGTGTTACAGACCGCTTTATTTTGGTAAGTTTCTGTACTTTTGTTGTTAACAACATTTTGAATATGTTTGTTCTTTTATATTTTACAGGCGCAAGCATCAAACTTGGCCACAGATCTCAACGTTCAAGGATTTAATATTAGTCACGGCAGGCTTGACAGATTCAAGCGGCGGCAAAATTTAGTAAATCGCTGTGAAACAACTACAAGAGTTCTTCCGGAGAACGCCCTGGAAAAAACGAACAAGTTTTTCAACGAGATCCGTGCCATCATCAACGATAAGGGAGTCAAGCCTCAGAATATTCTGAACATGGACCAGGTTCCCCGGTACTACCAATCAGAGCAAAGTTCCACCATTACAACTAAAGGGAGCACAAGTGTACTGCTTCGTAAAGCTGCTTCAACTCACAAGAAGTTCACGGCTACGTTCACTGTAAACGCTGCTGGAGAGATGCTAACGCCACATTGCCTGTTTCCTGATCTGAAGAAGCTTCCGCTTCACGATGAGCATGTTATGGTTGCCGTGAATCAAACTGGTATGTGGTCGGTACAAATTTTCAAAGAGTACATGGAAAAGATTGTATTGAAACGTCACCAAACCACACTTTTGAGACAGCCTACACTGCTATGGACCTCATATCAACGTCGCGCAGGAGATGAAAGCCAAATACGAACGCAAGAACGTTTTTATCGTTATTGTTCCACCAGGGATGACTCCGCTCCTTCAGCCACTGGATGTGTCCATCAACAAAAGTTTTCAAACAGCCTATTCTGAATCGTACGGAGAGTAGATTAAAACCGCTCTTTCGGATCCTACCAAGTATCGCACGAACCGTGGCAATATCAAGGTTCCATCGCATTTGATGGCCACTAAATGGGTTTGGAACTGGGCGAAACTGGATCACAAAGATTTGATTAAGAAGTCGTTTGAAATCCGTGGAATTTATTCAGGTAAGCTTGACAAACAGCTTTTGCATCCACCGTTGAAAGCATTGATGTCTGATGAGTTTGATTGGCTTGATCGCTATTCCAAACTGATGCACCAGTCGAGTGAGGAGCCAGATTGTATTCCTAACTTTTTCCTTCTCAAGGTTGAAACGGGATTTTACGAATGCGTACATAAGCTTACAAAGGAACATAGATCATTTGATCAATGGAACAAAGATTTTATCCCCAAGGTTTGTGATTATGTTCAAAACCAATGGCTATTTCTGGTCACGGACAAGTCAGACAAATCTGAGTTGCTAAAAGGAAAAATTAAATCTGGGGCCGAAATTGCTGCAACTGCTGAGCTTCTCAGCGTGAAGATAATGTTGATTGAGTGTAGCTTGGAAGGATTTATAGTAGAGAGAACATTATATGAGCCTGAAATTAACCCAATGGAATCGTTTTCCATAATCAAATCAGGAAAACATTTCATGGCGTTTGTTGAGGAGTAAAATCCATGAAACCGTCAAATGATTTTTACTATGTTATCGTTCAACTTTTTTGTTAAGTTTTAACCATTACCGATTTGTTAAGTTTTAAATCATTACCGATTGTTATGGTTATTTTTCAGTTTGATCGTCCAATAAAGCACCATTATAAAAAAATACGTTTT